CAATGTCAGCAGATCAAGGGGACAGAAGGGGAGTAGCCTGGAGGCCACACACACCTTCTGGCTGCTCACATCATGTCTTTAGTAGAGATAATGCAAGCACTATTAGTGTATATTAAATTATACAATATAATGTGTGATTTAGGATTTAATCATACTTCTCTGTCTTGGAGCAACCCAACAAGCATAACATAAGGAAAGAGAAGCACCACAATTACATTCATATTAAATATATGTATATATATTGCAATCATTGTATCATTATCCAACCAAATCACATGGGCAATTTTGATCACTTGCCTCTGCCTCTCTCCATCTATTGCAAACAACCAAGTGAACATATGCCCAATGTCAGATGTGGTGTGCATATGTTAATATGCAAAAGTCCCTGGTTAGTTTATCTCTGTTATCAGTAGATATTCCTTACAGATGTTCACGGCCCGTGGATAGAGATATCTGCCAATACCCCATAATTACCCTAGGTTCTTCTGGTTTCCAGGTATGCAATATACTGACCTGAGAACCACATCAACTGGGAACCCAGAACAATAGTGGAATAGACAGTGTCTTCCAGGACAAAGGCACTTCAATATTTGGGGTCCAACTGAAAAAAAAAGTTACTTTACTGCTTTAGGATTGTCTAATTATCCTTTCATATACTGACAGATCTATCTAGCTTTATAGGTCCTGTAAGTAATTGGATTTGTACAGTCCCTTACCATAATTTATTCAGCCACAGAACATGTGCAATTTATTGTTGGTCAGTAATTAAAATGATGAGTTGGCCACTCTGTAATGTATTTGACTCATTTAATATGGTATATGCAGAGGAATGCAGATTTTCCAATATTTTCTATCTTAGACAGCTATATATTGAATATGATCAGGGTCATACATACCTTATAAAGCAAACCGAATGGTCATATGTTCATTTTCTTTAATAAAAGCTTTATTGAGTTCATGTAGAGCACTGCATATTTCCACATTCCTTGCTTCCTATAGAGCATGAAAGCGGTTTCTAATGAATGAGACTATCTGCCAAGGGCTTTCTTAAAATCAATCTTATATCTCTCCTATTTTAACTTAAAATACTTTACATCGTAACATGAACAAAACCCTGCACTATCTTTACTCCAATCAATATGATGATAACTGGTAACAAGACCGCAGGCTCCAGTCACGTGTAGTTGCATGCACAATTAAATGTACAGATGGGAAGACATCTATCTAATCGTGCACAATGATGATGATATCTATAATCAGCAGTGAAAATATTATTCTTGACATAGAGGAGATTACATTTTATCTGATCTGATAAGGTATTGATGAACTTCCATGACAATTAGCTTATGAACAAAAGACAGATAAACTGGCAAACATTCAACTGGATCTACAATTATTCTTGATAGATGTTGGTATCAGTCTGTATGATGGGAATGACTAAGAATTTTCAGGAAATTTATATTAAGTGTTACAATAACAATTTTTGCATGTTTGCACATCATTACTTCTTTTTAGTGCCCACATCTTGTTCAGTTAATGAAATCTTTGTCGGATCAGTCAATTATCTGTGTAGACAATTTTTGTTGTCCTGGAACTGGATTCTTAACACAAACGTATTAATACAAATTTGTATACATTACTGATTATGACATACAAAAAGCCTGTGTGAAAGAAGTCTGCAGACATTTGTGGGAATGCAAGGAGCTGTGAGACAATGCTGAATATCACATTACAGTGAATTGAGTTCACTCTGAAAATCACATGCTTAAACTTTTTAACTCTATGTGAGGATCAATTTGAGCTGCAGAAGTACAATGCACAGACTTAGCATGTTGTCTGTATAGAATTAAATTGATATATATATA